ATTGGTAACTGAGTGATGTTTCCTATTAATGAACTTTTTAAGATCAAACCTTCTGCATGTATGGGACAACATGGAGCCTGTAGTGGGTGTGTTTGGAAATTCCTTTTTCTGTATCACAAGCAAGGGTTCTCAAATCACCAGATAACATGGTGTCCATGCTCACATAGGAATTTAGAGGCAAAAAAAAAAAAAAAGAAGAAAAACCTACCAGTGCGTCCAGGAGCACTAGCATTTTGGCAGAAAAACCGCTTGGTGCATGCAATTATGTCTAAATGCACGTTAACACTAGGCACGTTTAGCACTTGAGCAGTAATTCATTTCAATGGCCAAAAACATTATTAGCGTCAAGCGTTTTTTTTTTCTGCCAAAGTTCTGCTACTAGAAGGAAAGGCAACTAGAAGAGATGGCCAAACATCCAGTGTGCATGAGGCCTTAAAGTGGTAGTAAACACGTTAAAAAACAAAAAACCACCACAAGTTTCCTGCAAGTTAATAACATATTGTGCTAGAATGCACTGCATACTAGCAAATTATGAAAGACTTACCTTAGAACAAAGCCCTCAAGTGGCACACGGTCATCACTGTAGAAGGCTTCCACCTTCATATGGTCTTCCTTCCGAATTCGCAGACTGTGGTTGCTTGAATGGCCGAGCCACTGATGACATCACACAGCTCTGAAGTAATGGCACAGGTATGCCATTTCTTCAGAGCGCATGAAAGACTTACCTTAGTACTGTCATCAGCTGCTGCTCTGTAGAATATCTCCTAAATGGTGAACGTTTAGGAGATATTCCTTTTACCTACAGGTAAGCTTTATTGGAAGCTGAGGTAGGTAATTTATTATTATTATACAGGATTTATATAGCGCCAACGGTTTGCTCAGCGCTTTACATTATAGTGGGAGACAATACAGTAACAATACAGTTCAATACAAGAGGGATTAGAGGGCCCTGCTCCTTGGAGCTTACAATCTAGGAGGGCGGGGTGAGTGGCACAGTAGGTAATAAAATACAAAGTGACTTTAGCAGCACTTTAAGGTAAAAAATTCTCCACATGATCAGCCCCCCCCCCCCCCCTTCAGTCCTTATATACTTACCTGGGTCCTCGTTTGATACAGCGTTGTACCCATCTGCAACAGTCCTGCTCTCTCTCCCTATATGCAGAGGACATAGAGATAAAAAGAAACAAAAAGATACAAAATGTGGGACCAAAGAGGAGGAAATGTAATTTTTATTTTTAGGCCCTTTTCACACTGGCAGGCATGGTCCCGATCGGACCATCCACAGACCTCTATGGACCGGCGGGTGTCAGTGTCCGTTGACAACTTCCTGCATCCGATCCTGTACGCCAAAAACAGATGGATGTTCCCCATTTGTTTGACAGATCGGATGGGATGACAATCGGGTGGAAATGGACAGGCAGTCCATTTCCATCTGACAGCCCCATAGGAAAAAGCAGGCTGTTTCTATGTCCACTCTGCAGCAGCAGAGCAGACACAGACCTGTCATCCACTTGCTCAGTGGGGATCACCAGAGAGATTCCCCCAGCTGAGGAAATTAATCGCTGGTGGCTCCGCCCCATCTGAAAAGGGGACTTAAGTCTGCACTGGATTGTATCTACTCCCTGGTTGCACTGTCAGTTTTTCCAGGCGAACCTGATTGGACCGTCCCTCGTTCTCTGTCCGCTGACACCCGCAGGCATCCAATCCTGTACACTAAAAACAGATGGATGGGGATCGTTCCACATCCATCCGGCGGATCGGAAGACAGTCGGATGGAAAATGGACAGAAGGTCCGTTTCCATCTGACCACCCCATATAAAAACAGCAGCCTGTGTCTACTTTGCATAACAGAGCAGACACGGACCTGTCATCCACCTGCTCAGCGGAGATCAGGGGAGATATCCCCCTCTGAAAAGGAGGATCCGACGGAGTCCGCCCCGTCCAAAAGGGGCCTATCACACATAAGGACTACAAACCCTCACATATTCTTTCAGTACGTTTGGCCCTGCAGTCTCCAGAATCCTGACTGCCAAATATAACCAAGTAAGAAATATATGGATGATGTCATTGGTTTTACTCTTCCTAGCACAATAAGAAACTAAAATTTGCCTGTGTAGTATGTATCTCACAACTAACCGCCAATTTTCCCTAATTCCCCAGTACATTCAAAATAAAACTTAAAACATATTTCCATAACGACGGAGTCAGAATGGAAGTGGCTACATCTTCACAAAACGACATGCAAAACACAAACAAATAGCAGATCTGTAGTTGTATTACAGTTGAGCCATGTTAAATGTGAACCCGACATACACATTAGTCATACAAATCTCTTTAATCAAGCAATTAAGATAAGATGCAGTGTGTGTTAATAATTAATACTAGCCTAGAAAAACCATGCCGTTCTGCCCTTCTAAACAGTGTAAAATAGATCGATGGGAAGAACAAACAAACAATCCAAGCCCAGTATTTTGGTTTTAAATTCTTCGCTTAGAAGACCCCAGCAACAGAACTTGTGTTTAGTAACCCACGGTTTACATTTCCTCACCAGACTATAGGCCTTTTCCACATGTATAGTGTTGGTAGAAGATTGCATCCAGCACCTTCATTACTACATGTGGTGTTCCACTTGGCTTTCCAAGGTCCTGAGAGCTCTGAGGAAGAGGGCATGGCCCTCAAAACGCGTTAGCCGCACTCAATCCAATGGATAGGCTGTGGTGGTGGCTTGGTTATTGTAAATGTCTTATTTCTCCTTTTGTGAGTATAATGGATTCTAGTTTTTTTAATTTACTAAACAGTTTTACAGTAATGCAAAATGAGGACCCCAGTGTCTCAAGACAGAAGTGCTACCCACTAAGACACTGTGCCATCACATGTTCTAGTGCAGATTATTTTCTTCACAGTACTCCTTTCACATATCTACATCTTTCTCATGGACCTCTAATAAAAGGTTTTCTATAATAATCTTTTACATTCTAGACAATTAACTTAACAGTCTTAACATTTATTTGTCTTGTTAAAGCTTTTACTTCAGTACCCTTTCACACGAAAGGGTTCAATCAGGTCCGCCTGTCAGTTTTTCGTAAGGACCAGTGGCGTCCCTAGGCGGGTGCGTGCCGCACTGGGTGACACCGGACCCTCTCCACGTGCTCCCCGAAAAGTTTTAAAAGCAAGCTGACGATCCCCGCAAGATGGATTGGATTTGCGGATTAAGCATAATGGATCGGAGTCCGATCCATTATGCTCCCCAATCCGTAGATCTGATCCATCTTGCGGGGATCATCGGCTTGCAACCTATGCTGGGTTAACTGATCTAGGTAAAGCTGTGCAAGATCAGGGACTTGTCTATAACCAGGAAATGCAGCCGCGATAGCAGGAACCTCCCCCATCTGACATCACTTCTCGAGCATGTGCAGATCGGACCGGTGTTGAAAGATCAGTTAACCCCGTATAGGTTGCAAGCCAACGATCCTCGCAAGATGGATCGGATCTGCAGACTGGGGAACATAATGGATCGAACGCCGATCCATTATGCCAAATCCGCAGATCCGATCCATCCTGCGGGGATCGTCGGAGGGGTGACACCAAGTGTTACTGCACCGGGTGACACCAACCCTAGGGACGCCCGAGAAGGACCCGATTGGACAGTCCATTCACCCCTATGGACTGGTGGGTGCATACTGATTTGTGCCAATTTACACCCACCTACCTCTAATCTGGCCATCCATAAAGCAGAGTGAGCTCTGTCTGTTGGCACTCTAAATAAACTGGAGCAGTCTCGGAAGTGTCATCCGCCTGCTATGCACATCAGGGGACCAGCAGAAAGATCCCCTGCTGATTGAAACAGAGTCCGCCCCGTGTGAAAGGGGCCTCAGACGCTATCACTTGTCTTTTTGAGGAGCCTCGCACCGTCACAACAATTTTAAATGGGACAGCGGCTGTGGGGGGTGGTGGGGAGAAGAACCCCGCTGCTGTCACTGGAAGGGGGGGGGGGGGGCAGAAACACATTGCAGGTTACACCCTAAAAACAGATGTAACATGTTCCAAAGATGAACTCAGCCTTAAAGTGAAGAACCTCAACTCCTTCAATAAAACCGACCCTAATGTCTTTTCTGCCCTAAAGAAAAACACTTTACCCACAACAGCACTTCTACATATACAAAGGAAGAGAGTGTAATGTGCAGGTTACTTTGTACGATTGCTTGTGGTGTGTGAAATTGTGGCAGAGAGTAGATGATAAACCCTATCTGAAGCAGGACTGATGCTTACAGGTTAGTACAAGGGTACAAAGAAAAAAATAAAAATAAATAAATATGCATACAATGGGTCTAACAAAAATGAATATATGTGCATATCAACATATCAGCAGTAGAATATTGTACTGGGCTATCCCAAAGGTTTACATTTTTAACAACTCAAGTTAGATAAAGATCCCCACTTAAACGCCAAATTTTCTGCATACCAGTAGGAACAATTGAGTACTGTCCGTGATACTTTTTTTATTTGCACTAACAAACAATTTTGAGGACAAGCTTTTGGGGAATGTCCCCTTCTTCAGGTCTAAGCAGTATATTCAAGTATCCCCCCACCACCAAATTCTTTTTTTTTTAACAACACCTCCTCTATAAGCATACAGGAACTAAACAGGCACAGTTGAAGAAGAATGATAAGTCTAGAGGTGTGTGCCGTTCTTCATCTACATCACTTCCTAGTTAGCTTTTATTTTCAAACATGTAAAGCATGGCTGAAGGAGGTGTGTACACGAGGGGGTGTGTGCATTCCTCGCACTGCAAACAAAGCACACAGCTTTCTTAAAAGCACTCATTTTATACTGCTGCCAGAAAAAAACAGGAATTCATGCCAGAAACATGAAGCAATCAGGGATACAGAATGCAAAAGGCAGGCTCTCAACAAAACAAGTCATATGAGCTGCATTTTCTGTTACTCAAATATCCTTTATTTGTTTATTAGCAAGTTGTACACAAAAAATGATGTTGTGTTAAAAAAAAAATATATTCATAAATAGACCTGTAGTGTTCATCTGGTATCCTTAGAGCTAATAAAGCACTTGAACGAGTTGAAATGGGGGAAAAACAAGCAGCAGCCATGCAGAATCCTGGGGCTCCGTGTACACAGGACTTTTGGAAAATCCTTCTGAACGATGGAAACTGACTGCTGGAAAACGTAGGTTAAAAAACAACTGTTTAGCTGCGTTTGCATACCGTGTTTATGAGCGTTTGCGTTTCAAAGCGTTATTTAAAGAAAACCTCAGGAGACCTTACAAAATGCCCAGAATGCACTGAAAAACAGTAAAAAATTTACTATTTCAGACATTTTGATTTTTTTGACATTATTGAGAAATCGAGAGAGCAGAAGCAGAGAGAGCAGTATGTGTTGAGATTAGCGGTCTTTTTTTTTTTTGTGGTGTTTGAATGTGTTCCAGCTCATTGCTGTGCAGAAATTATTGCATTCTTTCATGCAAAACCTCAAAGTATGGTGTACCAGGTTCATTTGAGTACCGGGAAAACGCTTTGCATGCATTTTTCATGATGCAAAAAGGCTCTGGACAGCATCTGGAAATAGAAGAGTTAAAAAAAATTTCCAAACGAAAAACGCTTATAAACGTAGTTAACCGCATTTACAAGCATTTCAAACGCTGATAAAATCTACTCCTGAACGCAAGTTTGCTGCATTCAAAAAAACTACTGTAAACTCAACTGCCTGTAAACAACATAGTGTACATGGACACATAGGAAAACATTAGGGAGTGTTCAGGGGCTGCTGGAAAAAAAAACGCAGAAAAGCTCCTAAACGTGAGTTTATGAGCTACAGTGTACATGGAGCCTAATAGGGGGCAAATGCTGCAGTTATGCAGCATCTAACGGGGGGGGGGGGTTCAAAGTTACAGCAATATCCTAAGCAGTAGCATAAACAAAATTTTGTGCAGTGTCATATGTCTCAATATCCTCTAGTGCCTCTGAAGGGGCACATGATGGGTAGCAGGAATGTGCAGACAGCAAACATTTTACAGCCATAGTAACAAAACACAAAAAAAAAAAAAAAAAAAAAAAAACAACAAAACAGGCAAACCTTAGCAATACTACTGTGCTTCAAAAGTCACTCACCTCAGTACATGCACACATCATATGTGTTTTTGTATAAATATGTACAAGTACTGGTAAAAATAAATTGAAGTGTGAGTGGATGATAGTTGGTTGAATAACATACTAACTCCTGAAATAAGATCTTCAGGCAAATGCACCTTGTTAAACATTTAGATTTATCTGCAAAGAAATAGACATATGAACTTGGCAGTATTCTTTGTGCGCAGGATCTTGCTGGGAGCATGATTGCATGTACACGGTTGTGCATACTACATCCGGACTCATACAGACACACACCTTGCATATGTCTGTATGAACTGAGATACGTACATTCTACACATGCACTGCCAACAACGCATGAGTGATTGATTCAGAGTGGACATGTTAACTGTGAGCAATTAGTGGAGCCTGCTGATTATACACTATTGTTTACATGTCAGTCCTGAAACAGTCATTCATGTGGCAGAGCATGAGCAGAAAGGCCTCCAGTCATTCTTAATAAAAAGCCAAGTTAATTTTTCTCATGCACTGATTATTAACCACTTGCCCTCCTGAGGATTTACCCTCCTTCCTGACCAGGCCATTTTTTTGCGTTACGGTGTTGCATTACTTTAACTGACAATTGCGCGTTCATGCAATGCTGCACCCAAATGAAATTTACGTCCTTATTTTCCCACTTTCTTTTGGTGGTATTTGATTGCCTGCGCATTTTTAATTTTTTGCGCTATAGAAAAAAAAGAAAAAAAGAATGACAATTTTGAGAATAAAACAATGATTTTGACTTTTTGCTATTAAACATGTTCAGTAAAAAAATTTTAAAAATCAAATTTCATCATAAATTTAGGCCAAAATGTATTCTGCTACATGTCTTTGCTAAAAAAAAATATCCCAATACGTGTAAATTAATTGGTTTTTACGTGAAAGTCATAGCGTTTACAAATGGAGGTATATATACTGGAATTTTTTCTTCCTTCCTTTTACTAGTAATGACGGCGACCAGCGACTTATAGCCGGACTGCAGCGGGCATTCTGACACTGGGGGGGGGAACTGACGTGGTGATCAGTGCTAAAGAAAGAAGAAAAAAAAAAAAAAACTGACACACTAGTATTAGCACTAATACTGGCACTGGGCAGGAAGGGTTTAACATGAGGGGAGGTCAAAGGGTTAACTGAGTGCTGGGAGTGTTTTACTAGGGAAGGTGTGTTGGTGCTTCACTGTAAACACGATGCACTGGATGGCTGTGCTGTGCACAGCCATCCAGAGCAGTGTGACTGAGCCCACATGGAGGAAAACTGTTAGTAACAAAGCAGTCCTCCTCCCAGTCCCACATATATATATATATATATATATATATACACATATATATATACATATACATACATACACATACACACATAGATAACATATATACACAGACACACACACACATTTTGCGCACCCCTGACGCCCTGTAGCAGTATATCTGCTATAGGACATTCGGAATGTGATTAAAGTAAAACTAAAAAGGCAGAACTTTTTTTTTTCTTCTTTTTTTTAATTTTGGATAGAGTGGAGAGGGATTAGAACACCTGTCAGGTTTTATTGCTGTCTGTGCCCCCATTAAGGAGATTCACCTCTCCATTTGTCCTGTTTACCATTATTATTGAATGTGAAAGTAAAAGAAAAACCTAAATTTTGGATTGTCTCTTGAAAAGTAAAACAGGAATAATCTTGCAATGGAGACACTAGTTTTGGTGACCCGGGTGTTCCCAAGGAATTCCCTTAATTTGCAGGGATTTCTTCTCACATCCTGTTGGTCTATGGGACAGGAAGTCAAGGGAAATCTCCGAAATGAGACACAGATAGCGAAAAAAAAAATCTGGCAGAGGTTATAACACCCCCCCCCCCCCTCTTTGCTCTATCCAAAATCCAGGAGCATTTATGTTCTGCTATGCTGTATGCACATAAATGTCATCACAAATGTTTACATTTCAAACAGTGTAAAATACGGTCCAAACAACCCCCAGTGCAGTAAATGTGGTCATCCTTAATGGAACTGCATACATCTTCTTTGGTGGGACCCCAAATAGAAGAGATACTGGGCAGGAGTGATAGAAAATCTTAACCTTTTTGGTATTCTTTAGTGTTGGAGCCACTCACCTGTATTTTAGGTTACTATGATACTTTCCTCATTGATGGCCATCAATCCCTGGCAGTTACTAGAGTCCATATACATTATAAATCTGAATACAGCAAATTGTTCTTCCAGGTTGCATAAACCCTTATAAGCCTGTTTACACATTTCTGCCACACTACACAACCAGGCAGAGAACCCCGCTGTCTCCCGATGTAAAAATTTACAGCTTCCTGTATCGCCTGCCTGCTCACTAGACAGCACAAATAATGCCAATGCACTTCAGTTTTAAAACACAAGGGGAATCTGGCTGGTAAAATATCAGCACCTGAATTCCCAGGTTGTCCCACAAGCAGCTGCAATAAGAGTGTCTCACTTGGTGAAATTTTATTTACTGCACACTACTGAAAATTCAACTTAAAGAGCGAATGGAGGTGGAAAGAGCAACCAGGAATTCCTGAGCAACATCTCCACTGGTGATTCATATAGATATAGATATATATATTTCTAATAATGCCTCATTGTTCAAGCCACCAAGGCCCATCCATAACTGTAATGCCTATGTATACATTAAACTCTTAAAGCCCTTGTCATTATTTACGAAAACTTCCTAAAAGTGGCCATGTTGCTTCACAGAAATCAGAATAAAATATACCTTGCAAGAATCAGAAATTAGACAATTCTAAGAAAAATAACGTCACACTGCATACGCACACACATTACACACTTATGTGATAAAGTGGGGAAGGGTTAGCACCCCTGTCTAGTGTTATTGCCTGAGTCCCACAGGGAAGATTTGTTCCGCTGTTTGTCTTGTTGGCTATTGTTGCTGAAACAGAAAATTAAGTGAAATCTAAAATTTTACAGTTGTCCTCAGAATCTTAAATAGGAGAGATCGTTGAACAAAGACACTTATTTTGGGGACTAAAGTTAAATGGAGAACTCTCCTCCTTTCTAGAGATTTAGCCTCCCTTCCTCTCATCTCCAAAATAGGAAGTTAATAAACATCCCCCCCAAACAGACAACAAAAACTAAACTGGACTTTTAATCCTTCCCTACTCTATCCAAAGCCATTTTGTCACAATAAAAACATTTCACGGGAAGTTTAAGAACAATAGAGGGACAAAGAGCAGTTGTGCTAGTGTCTGTTCTAAACCATGCAAGAAAAATGAATATGAACAAGACACACTCCGTCCCTCTGCAAAATCCAACCTGTGTGCACCTTTTGCCTGCGAACTGGAAAATCAAAGCATTTATTTTGTAATTCAGCCACTTAATAATCAGTACTAAACATTTTCTCTGTACATTGCCTTCTTGCTAGAAAAAAAACAAGAGTCATACTAATTTTAGCATCTAATTACAATGCTTCATTGCTTTTCTTTCCCCCTCTAATTGTGCCACAACAATACAAAACAATAAAAGTGGCAATTAACAATTTAAATTGCAGACACAAAACACAAATCAGAGTAGATATTACAAAGCCATATGCACTAAGTATTTTGTCCCTATGGAAACAATTAAGGCCCATTCACACTTGTGTGTTGTGGCAAAGCACATGCTCTAGGTGTATTGTTGTGGTATTCATTGTGAATGCTCTGCAGGCTTCAATGCAACCCTTTAATAAATGCCTATTTATTTTTTTTTTACTTATTTTTTATTTATTTTATCAGTGTGGATTTTGTTCACTTTTTTGCAAAAGGTGAACTATGCCTTTGAGAAACCATAAACTTAGAATACTGGAATATGTATGAAGAAGAACAATTATGTTGAACAATTGAGAAGAACAAAAACACAGCATTTCTTTAGTGCACAGGCACAAGGCAGACACACGTCCAGAACCTGCATGATTTCAGAGGAAGCAAAGACTGTGATCCTTCAGTACCTGTTGAGGGCCAGAAGTTGCAGGCAATGTTTGACACGACGAATCATCAAGCAGAGCACATTTTTCACTGCTGTC